AAGAGGGCAACTTCCTCACCATGGCTCGCCCTGGTCATCTTCCTTTTCTACTACACCATATGCCCTTATTATCCCTTGCTCTAAGAACAGTAATCAAATCACCATTACCATTGCTTCTAGAATGGCATGTCAATCAGCTGTCACATGACATTATTCATCACTCCTATGATAACTTCTAGCTACCACTCCCTATATGTATAGTCTCTTCCATAAACTCCCTGAGGACACGAACTATTTCACCTTTTGAATTTGAACCCACAGCACTTAGTACAATGCCTGGCCCATAATAAGTGCTTCATAGATGTTCATTCAAACAGGAACGGGAAATTATGTTAAAGTAAGTACTTCTGTCAACAGGGAGACAAAACAGTATACTGCATGGAGTGCTAGACTATGTAGGAAGCCCTAGACTTAAACCCAACCAACAACTCTCACTGTGTTAATGTGGAAAAGAAACCTGAGCTCACTGCACATCAGTTTCCTCATCCGGCTACGCTGCCTGTAGCATATACTTCAAAGGCTTGTTATAAAGTTCAAATTGAGAGAATGTGTAAAGGGTTTTGCAAACCTTAAAAGCATAATTACCAATGTGAATTATTAAATCTTCTATCATATCTTTCATGAATAAAGAATAAAAATTACAAAAAATGATTAACACCAACTATAATGAACATAATTCAATCTTTCATTAGTAAATCAAAGTGAGATTCAGAATTTCTCAGAGTTCTCATCATGAGCCTATCTACTTTCTTTTTAATCAGTCCTATGATCAGTATAGGGAGCTTCCAGTAAGGAACGTCTATCAATATGGACCTGCAACTGCTCTGTGACTTTTAGTCTTAAAGAGCTATTAGGGGGAGAGGCGGAGAGGGCACACTGAGAAGTTAAGGGACCTGGCCGAGTTTTTCTCTCTTTCCCCTAATTGTTCAGAATTATGAAAAAAATCTAGTCATTTGAAGTTTTTGACTATTAGGGTTTCTGATAAACAGGACGCTGTGGGTGTGTGTGCACAAACACACATATATCTGTGTTAGGGGAGTTAATTTTTCAATTGTGTTTTCATAATGGTTAAGTTAAAATCAATTTACAATTCAAAGGTCCGTATTGGCCTAGTATTGGTCAATATTTTAATTTATGATTTGGATAAAATCATGAAGGGCATGTTTGTTAAATATAAAGATGACACAAAACTGGCAGGGATAGCTACTATGATGGATGGCAGAAGCAGGATTCAAAATTATGTTAATAAGTTGGATTGCTGGACCAAAACCAATGAGATGAAATTTAATTGGCACAAATGTATAGTTCTGCATTTGGTTTTAAATGAATTAACTGCACAAGTAAAAGAAGGGGGAACATTTGGCTCGTAGGAATTCTTGTAAAAAAGAACTAGAGGGTTTAGTTGACCAGAAGCACAATAAGTAAATAGTGTGATATTGCTATTAATAAAGCTAAAATAAGAATAGTGTTCAGATAATAGTAATTAATCTTCTAACTGTACTCTGAATTGGTCAGATCATAATTATTTTGTGCAATGAGGGATCACTTCTTTAAAGGAAACAGTACAGAGATGGGATGTTAAGGATCATATAGATTTTTTGATGATCTCCATTTTTACCTGCATCAGAAATAGGCTGGCTACTTGGTGACTAATTCTTCTGCCAAAGCAACTTATGAAACAAACAAAATATAAAATGGCCCTTAATCTCTTTTGTCTTTGCAGTGACTGACAGAATGATGTAAAAGGGGACAGAAGATGCTAAGAATTATATAATTCTAGGAAGTCTATAAACATTAACACAATGGTTACAATTTTAAATGTGTGAATCTTAGCCTGCAAAAAGTAAAAGAAGGCATATTCCTAGAGGAATCTTGACATTTTCACTATAAATAATAACAAGGAAATTGGAGCTAAATGGAAGGATGGCTCAAAACTTCTCTTTAGAGGGGGAAATAAAGGAATTGGTTTTATTGTATGTCCAAAGGCAACAAAAAATATTTCAGAGGACACCTGACTATCTCTTATGAAATTTACACGTTAACAGACAAGTTACTGTTACTGTCATAGGAATCTTATGTGAATCAGCTATCTGTATATACTCAGATCACTAACTTGTTAGAGCAAGGATAAACATCAATACAAATTATAAGAATAAAAATGAGAAGCTGAGGCACAAGTTAAATGAACTGTTAATACTGAAAAATGGGAAATGGATAAAGGAGCAGACACTGATCCAAAATATAACATTTGCCAAAGAAGTTTAACTAATCAAACATCTATGCGGAGACCAAAAAAGCCGAGAAGCTGCCTTAGCTAGCAAACACTTTATCTCCTTACCAGATGGAGGGATATGACCGCCAAGGGCAATACCCATTTAGCATATAAATCTGTTTATAAAATCTTAAGAATGGTTGAAGATTTTACAGTACTGCTTTATAAAATAATGAGAAACAGCAGAGGATAAAGCAAGTTTATGAAAAGCAGAATGAAAAACCCAATTAATCCAGATCATCCAAAGTAGATTTAAAGGCTGAAATTAGAAGGCTAATAAATAATTGGAAAACAAAAAATATTTTTCAAGACTTCTGTAACAAACTCTTTTTATTATACAAATGTGGCCTCTAACATTGCAGTTCCTGATGTGATATACTACATGAAGCAGTATAAATGAACTAAAGAAAATAAAAATGTAGAAAAGCAATTAAATCAAGTATACACAGAAATAGTTTGTATTGATTCTCAGTTTCCTCATTTATGAGGGGGTTAGGCTAGACTTTTTTTGGTCATGGATCCCTTTGGCAGCTTGGTAAAGCCTATAAACATCTGAGAATTAAAAAAAAATACATAGGGATTACACAGGAAACCAATAATATTGAAATCCAGTTATCAATTTTTTTTTTACAAGGTTATGGACATCAGGTTATGAATCCCTGGACCATTCAGCCTCTAAGATTGCTTCAAGCTCTAAATCTATCATATAAGAAGACACCTAAAAAAGGGAGAGAACCAAAAACTTGGGGAAAAATTTTTAAGGGGTGACTAGGGAAAATATTATGAACTACTAACTCACATACCTATTTTCCCTACATGGCAAAATTTTATGAGAATAATCTTTACATCTCTGAAGAGCACTCTTGAAAGTAAAGATTTGAGAAGGGTACAAGCAGCCTTTTGCAATCACAGTCAACAGTAAACCTCATCATTATAGTCATACAACTGACTGAAAAGAGTAGAGAATATAAGGCTCCGCTGTGCTATTTGCTGAACAGTTTAAACAAGCATCTGAGTAGGCAGAGCAAAATGCTGCTTTAAAGGTTCTCCTCCAACAAAAGTGTGTCCTGTACACATGTCAAAATCATACAAGATTCCTTAAAAGATATAAAGGATAATTCTGTTTGATGACCCTTACTGATGATGTCATTAACATGAAGTAAGGCATAAAACAGGGAAGGCAGAGACTGCAAAAGTTGTTTACCCTCCTCATGAGAGATGGTTGATGCAAAGTCCAAACTGAAAGGGGATGCCCTAGAGATGGCGGGTTCTTCTGGGTGCTCCTGTTTATGGATGATGCAGTGTTCAGTGCATCAAGTCCTACACCACTGCAGAGTCTTCTAAAATAAGAGCCAGAATCAGGAAACACACACACACACACACACACACACACACGACTGCAATAAATATTTCTGAAGTCCAGGGTCAGATTTCCAAAAGTATAGGTGATTATTCTAGTTTAATGGATTAAAGAAATTTAATAGCTGACTTTTATAGAACCTTTAGATTTACAAAGCACTTAATATATATTACGTCATTTAATTCTAACTACCTTGTGAGACAGAGGATATTATTACCCCCATTTTATAAATAAGAAACCCGAGGCTCCAAGAGATTAATGATTTGGTATTTCCTGATTACCTCCCCCAAATTATTTAACTACTTTATATAACTGGTGTTATTAATAATATATCAGTATATCATTAATAACATTCGATTATATAACGCACACACAGCAACAGAGACATTGTACTATAATATATAACATATATACTATATATTATACAAAGTAGTTAAATGAAATATAATTTGGGAGACAGGATATTACTTGTTGGGTGAAGATAATAAGAAATATAAAATTATTAATATCTCTGAAACTCAGGTTTCTTTCTGTAAATAAAAATACACACATACATTTTATGCACGCACACACACACAAAGTAGTTAAATAAAATGTAATTTAGGAGAGAAGATACTTCCAAATATGTGTGTATATAGATGTGTACACATGTATATGTGTAGCTAGATACATGTATGTGTAAGAGTACATATATTTTGTACCAGTACAAAAATATGATTGCATGTATATACATACATATGCATGTGCATACACGCACATACATACATATATATGTATATATCTATACACGCTCACACATATCTCTCCAATTAGAACATAAGCTCCTTGTGAACAAGGACTGTTGCAATTTACATCCCCATAGCATCCCTAGTATACTTTCTAGAACATAGTACATACTTAATACATGCTTGTTCATTGATCTACTGACTTACTTAAGGCTCATAAGTGTTAGAGGTGAATTGAAAGTAGTCTTCCTGACTCCAAACTCAGCATTCTATACATTATGCCATGTTGCCTAACATATGTCAGTGTCTACAGCCTTGCAATCAACCACATAAATTCTTATGTGTAGTCTTGTGAATTATTTCCAACTTCAGCTTCATAATATGGAAAACATAATGTCATTACTTGATTTTCACTCACAAATATGCAGGTATTCATATAGATGTCAATTGCTACACTATGCAACAATGAGAAATATTATAATAGTAGGGAACCAGTACAAAAATTCACTTAAGAAGCAAAGGAAAACAAAGTGCCAATCATAACAGCAATAATAATGAGAAATATTTCAGTGTTGAACACAGACAACATATTTAATATGTCCAATTTAACCAACTGACATATATATGTATAAATATACTCCACCTTTGATCGAAATGTTGGATGGACAAAGTAAACTGCTTTCAAGTTCCTCTTGTATCTGATTTAAAAGAGAAAAAAAAAGTGAGTCCCATAAAAATGTGAACTATCTTCTTGAATAACTAAAGACATTTAAACACTGAAATTAAAAAACTTTTCAAAGCTCTGGCTCCTGTCACTGAGATTCAAGCCAAGGCTCATAACTAATGATATAGAGGGATATTTTGAGATCTTTTCATGCCTCTTTTATAGGACAATATTAGATATAATTTCCAACTCTGTTAGCGAATCTTTCAGTGGGACAAACTATACTATGGGACCTACTGTAAAAAAAATAATAAACACTGACATATCACAGGCAAAAATGAAAAGAGACTGAGAGAAAGGTGGGGATAGAGAGGGGAAGAGGAGAAGGAAAGGACAAAAGAGAGGGACAGGGAGGGAGGAAAAGAGAAGAGAAGAGAGAGTGAGTGAGTGAGTGAGTGAGTGTGTGTGTGTGTGTGTGTGTGTGTGTGTGTGTGTGTAGGTAGGATGGCCAGTCTCACCTTAAGGAAATGGCAACCAAGTTTTGAAGCATCCCAAATCAGTATTAGTTTAGGCAATAATTATCATTAACTAATCATAGGCAATAACACAATAACCACAAAGGGCAGAGACCTTAGAGACACTTAATGCCATTCTTACATTTTACAGGAGAGAATATACTGAGGTGTGAAATGGCCAAGGTGCTACAGTTACTTAACAGTAGTACTAGAACTAGAATTCAGGTTGTTGACAGTTTGTAACTACCTCTTTGCCACAGTCAGACATTTTATTTTATATTTCAGTCTAACTGCTTGGATCAATATCAATAATAATCAATAAACATTTATTAAGCACCTATTATGTGCCAGGCACTATGCTAAGAGGTGCAGATACAAAATGAGGCAAAAGACTGTCCCTGCCCTCAAGGAACTCACAATCTAATGGGGGAGACAACATGCAAACAAATATTTACAAACTGTATACTGATTATAAATAGGAAATAATTAATAGAGATTTAAAATTAAAAGAGATTTAAAATAATAGAGAATTAAAAAGGGTTAGAGAAGGCTTCCGGTAGAAGGTAGTATTTCAGCTGGATCTAATGGAAGCCAGAGAGGTCAGCAGATGAAAACGAGGAGGGAGAACATTCGATGCATGAAGGACAGCTAGAGAAAATATGTGGAACTGAGAGAGAGAGAGAGAGTCTTGTTTGTGAAACGATCAGGAGGCCAGTGTCACTGAAGAGTACTTGCTGGAACGTAAGATGTAAGAAGACTGTAAACGCAGGAGAGCACTAGGTTATGAATGGTTTTGAATACCAAACAGATCATTTTGTATTTGTTCCTAGAAGCAATGGGGAGACTTTTGAGTTTACTAAGTAGGGCAGTGATATGGTTAGACCAGCAATTTAGAAAAATCACTTCAGTGGTTGACTGGAGTATGGATTTGGGTGGGGAGAAACTTGAGGCAGAAAGACCCACTAGAAAGCTAATGCAATAGACTGTGTTAATATTAAGTACTGGGATCTTTCATCAGTTTCACAGATGAAATTTTAGGTCTGAATCCAAGATGGAACATCAGAATTTTTAAGTTTAATATCTTTTTCTACTGACATGCATTATGTTTCTATCAAAGTAATTTAGCATTTTGGTGTCCACCTGTAAAATGGGTTTAAAATATTAAGAAAAGCATTTAATGTTATCTGTTCTCAGGGCCTTCTTTATTAGCAGATCTTATACATTCAAATGGATATATGATCTCATCGATGTGTGCATTTTTCCCAACAATGCAGATCATAGTTCATTCACGCTAACCCAGACTGTTCAGCTCTTATTCATGTCCACCAGATCACCACAGTAGATCACCATCTACTAAACATGTCAGGTTCCTTCCTTGTTTTCTCTTAACATTGTAAAGATACCAATGGGGCATATGGGCTGCCTATTACTTATCATTTGCTGTTGCAATGTGACCAGATCATCTTCTTTGTTGTTTACATATCTATTTGATGTTATTTTGTGGGTGTGTAATGAACAGTAACTTAAACCCCTGATCTCTTGCCTTTGAAAATAGCATGAAAACAGTTATCACATTTCAATGTGTCAGTTTTTAATGGGTCAGGTATCACGATGAATTTTTTTTTAGCTAGGCCACAAAAACGTACTATGTTTACCTTAAATTATTTTCATCAACTATCATTTTTTTCTGCCCACCTCCAACAGATACCCTGAGGCACCACCCTTTTCTAAATGTAGAATATTCTACCTTGTCAGACACTAGTGTGAATGTTGTTATACCTAAAGAACTGTAATGGCTCTTAGAAGGCTTCTGGTCCCAATTCCCTTCCAATGCAGGAATCCTCTCTACCACATGCCTGCTTGGCGGTCATTCGCTTCACCACTTTGAGTGGTGGAGATCTAGACATCTTCCAAAGCAGGACACCTTATTTTTTCAACAGCTCCATTGTTAAAAATTTCCTTGGTAAACCACGCTGACAACACATCCTCTTAAAGCCAGTATAGCTTGTTTGTACAAAGTTGTTTTCAGGCTGTCTTCCCATTGTTTGTGCTCCTTGAGAGTAAGATTGTCTTTTGCCTTTCACTGTAGCTTCAGTGCTGAACACAGTGCCTGGCACACCACAGGCGTTTAATACATACTGATTGTATGTAATACTTACATGTATGTAATACATACACAATACATAATGCCAGACATAAACAATTAATAAAAATTATACATATGACTTTGTAATTGCAGTTGTAATTTTTAGTAAAATTTTTAAATTCTAAAAATCTTCAAATTGAGTTTATGTTGGGGAGAAGGCTTCATATTGAGGGAGGTTAATGCAGTCTATGTGAGACATTTATATATATGTATATATATGTATATCAAGCATGCTTCTTTCTTGTCACATGGAGAAAGTAAAGGTTTTTTAAGAGTACAAAAATAATATAAGAGATCATTTCATGAGAGAGAAGGGGAGAGAGCGAGAGACAATGTGACAGTGTGAAAGAGAGTGTGAGAGTGAGAAAGAGAGTGAGTGAAGGACCACTGTCCAACTGCCCCTCCTTCATTAAAAATAAAATGAGACTAACTTGATATCAACAACGTCATAGAGTTTCTTCAGGAAGTCAGAGTCCAGGTGATTGTACTCGCTAGTAAGTGTGTGAAAGTATACTAAGACATATTCTTTTACAGCAATGTGATCCATTACATGGATAAAATATAATAGAGCCTGAAAAAGACAGAAAGGGGAGAAAATAAAGGTCATTTTTGGAATAGTCCATTTCAATGAATCACATGGACTTAAAAGCCTTGAAGTGTTACCTAATATATATCTCCTGTCATCTAATTAGGCCAATAGGAATCAAGCTTACTTTGAAAGCCCCCCAAGGATAAAAACCATTCCAATGTTTAACAACTATCATACATACTACAACAATGTATTTCTTTTTAATCTCTTATTGGTGTTGAAATATCAATTCTACATATTTGAAAAGTTATTGGGTTTCTAATTACATTTTTCTTATCTAAGCTAAATAATTTTATTTTTTGCCATTTTCCTGCAATGCATTATTTTTCTAATCCTTTATTATCTTTTAAACTTTCTATATTCCTATTACATATCTATATGACTCTTATGTGACCAAGTGCTACCATAAAAGAACATATTAACTGGTATCAGCTCAATTTGGGGCTAGTTTTTATTTACTATCTTTAATAATGACATTGAGTTCAACTTGAACCTACAGATGCTAATTTGAGATTTTTTAATACCTAAGAAAATTAGGATTTGAAGTCACAGAGCTAAATTAATAAGACAAATATTCCATCACAAATAAGATGAAATTTAAAAGAAGTACAAAGACAAGATATGGAGGCACAGTATAATATGGGGTGATTCACTAAAAAAAGAAAAAGAAAAAGGTTGGCAACTTAAGTGGTTATTGTGAACTGGATGCTGACTAGTACTGTTTATGTTGGCCTTTAGGAACAAGAGAAAAGCTCAAACAACCAGCTTGGAGTGGGGAAGTTGGGCAGCTTTTAAATTCCTATTAATAGGACAGAATATCGTATACACTGTCAGATACAGTCTCTGTATCAGCTATGTTTGTTTCTTTTTCAAAAAGGAGAATTTATCCTGGAGAGCACAAAAAATGATTGTTATATAAAAATAAAATGGCATCCATAAAAATTTTCAAAATTTCTATGAAGTCAAGTTTTCAAAATATATATTTACTTTGTTGGAGTGAATTTTCACCCAAAATTAAAATAATTATATGTTTTACATTATTCATATGTCCTGTTCCCTTTCATTTGTTTGAATGATCAAGATTGACCATAAATCCTTAAGACGAATCCTTCAGATCCGTAAGATCTGAATATGATAAATTTACAAACCAAAAAAAAATCTAACATAGGCTTGTTATGTCATTTCAATAGCAAAGCAGTTGTACACACACACACACACACACTCTCACACACACACACTCACACACACACACGTAATATCAAAGGTCTTTCATATTTCAATTTTCATTATAGGATAACATCAAATGTGACATTTTACACAGTAAGAACTTAGAATACTCCTCAGAGACAAACAGGTCTGCCTTACAACGTAAGCACTACAATTAATGAGCATATAATTTATGAGTATGAGCATATCCTCCATAACAGCACTATTCGTTAAAAGTCTGGACCTTTTTGTAACTTACCTTGTCCATATCTATTAATGTTACAGGAATGTTTCTTCCAACTACCACCATCACTGTGCGACCACAGTTATCTACACCTACAAATGGGGAATATACATTAACAACAACAGTAACAAGCTAGTATTTCCATGGTGCTTTAAGATTTTGACATTTTACATATGATCACACTCATTTGATCCTCACCACAACACATAGCTTGTTTGTATACAGCTGTTTCTGTGTCGTGCTCCCCACTAGATTTTGTGTTCCTTAAGAGCTGGGTTGTTTTTTGCCTTTCTTTGACTCCCCAGCACATTTTACAGATGAGGAAACTGAGGCTGAGAGAGGTCAAGTGATTTGCCTAGTGTCACATAGCTAGTATGTTCTGAGGCAAAATCTGAACTCCAGACTTCCTGACTCCAAGTGCTGATTCCATCCAGTAGGCTGAGGAGCTGCCTCAGCGGTTGATTTTCAGCTTATTACTCATTCAAGTTTGAACCTCTTTTGCTCTGATGCATCTTTTAGAGGGTGGAGGTGGTCCTGAGCTCCTGAAGGCCAGGATAGCAGGAAACATCAAGCATGCTCAGGCCTGATCAAGCCAGAAAGGCTTCAGTGTAGACCTTATGACAGAAGCCATGTCTATTGCCCGAGAGGCTAGACTTGCTAAGTCTTGAGATGCTCATCACTTGCTTCAACATAATACATTTTTTGGCCACAGCAACTCATAAAGATCTTTTTTTTTATTGGGGGGGGTGGAGGGGTGGAGGAGTGCAGCTGTTATCCACATTTGGTAGAAGGACCACCTTAAAGTCAATGATTGTGCCCTATCAATTGTAAATTGTATTTCCAGGTAGAGCTGAACAGTACATAACTTAGTGGATTCCTCTAATTACCCTCTCCCGATAATTTATATTCTTTAGACCAAAGTGTTTAGGAGTCAAATTCTTATGTGTGTTTTTTTTTTAGGCAATTGGGGTTAAGTGACTTGCCCAGGGTCACATAGCTAGTAAGTGTCATGTGTTTGGTCTGAGACTGGATTGAACTCAGGCCCTCCTGACTTCAGGGCCAGTGCTCTATCCGCTGCACCACCTAGCTGCCCCTTGGAGCCAAATTCTTTAAAGCAAAAGGCTTCAAGTCATGTCAAACATGGGATTTTTAGAACACTGAGACTGTTTTATGTAATCACAGAATTTCACAGATGTAAGGTACTCCAACAGCCACCCAGTCCAATTTTCCTTAACATCTTTATTGTCATCCAGCCTTTGTCCGGAGATCTCCAAGGAGAGGGTACCCACTAGTTCCCGATGCAGTGATTTACAGTTTGGCATAGTTTCAATCTTTAGGAAATTTTTCCTTCTCTTCACCATAAATTTCCCTTCTTACAATTTGCACCAATTTCTCTGGGCTGCTCCTTCCAGGGACAAGTTTTCTCTTCCCCAGGCTGAACATCTTCATTTCCTTTAACCAATCCTCACACGGCATAAACTTGAAGGTCTTTATAACCTGGTTGCCCTCTTCTGAACATGCTCCAACATATCAATGTCCTAAGATGGGGGTACTCAGAAATGGAAAAAACAAAACAAAACAAAAAAACCCAAAACCCATTCCAGATTTGGCCAGACAAGGGCAGTGCGCAGCAGAGTTTTCATCTTCACACAGAGGTGGTTGTTCAGTCATCCAGTTGTGTTCGACTCTTCATGACTCTGTGGTTGAATGCTAACACTGTCCACAGGGTTTTCTTGGCAAAGATACTGAAGCAGTTTACCATTTCCTTCTCCAGCTCATTTTACAGATGAGGAAATTGAGGCAAACAGTGACTTGCCCAAGGTCACACCGCTAGTAAGTGTCTGAGGCCAGATATGAACTCAGGAAGAAGAGTCCTGCTGACTACAGGCCCGACACTGTATCCATTGCGCCACCTAGCTGTCCTTTTAGACTTCATGTTTATTACTACTAACATTTCATCTTACTACAGTCAGCCCAAAGTTCTAGCTTGTCAATATTTTTTTGGATCTGGACTTTATTGTATAGTGCACGAATTGTTCTCCCTAGCTTTATATCATCTGCAAAATTAATGAGCATGCCATGTATGCTTTCATCCAAGTAATTTACTAAAGTGTTAAATAGCACAGAAATCCTTCAGACACTCTACTCAAGAGCTCCTTTCAAGCTGGTTATCAAGCCATTAACAACCACTCTTTGGACTTAGGCAATTAGTTCCAAATCTATCTAATTGTATCATTTAAACTCACATCTCTCCATCTTTTCACAAGAATAACATGAGACTTTATCAAGGGCTTGGTTAAAATGTAGGGAAGCTACAATTACAGAAATCTCCTGACCTACCAATTTAGTGACCAAGTGACCCTGTTAAATATGAAATAAGTTCAGTCTGCTCTAAATTGTTTTTGCCGAACCTCTGTTGGATGTTTGTGATTTAAGTTTTCTCTTCTAGATGTTCACTAACCATCTCTTTAATAGTGTGTTCTTAGAATTTTAGCAGGAATCAAAATTAATCTCATTGTTCTAAAGTCTGCAGATTGTTCTTTTCCCCATTTTGGAAAATCTGGACACCTTTGCCCCTTCCAGTCCTGCAGTACCTCTTCTGTTCTCCATATGCTTTCAAATATCACTGACGATGGCTCAGTAATCACATCTGCCAGCTTTCAGCATCCAGGATGTTAACTCATCTGGGACAGGTGCTGAACTCATAGGGGGACCTTGGAGGTCTCTTACTATTTCCCTACTTATCTTGAGTAGTAGTTTCCTATCAGTTACTTCTGTTCTTTCCAAATCAAGTCAATCTCCGTGGCAGAGAAAACAGAAGCAAAATAAGAAGTAGATAACTCCCCCCACCCCACCATGTGCTATGAGCCCAGCATCCCTGAGCAGTGGTTAAGGGTCCTTTTCCTTTTTTTGAGTGTCCTTGGCTTTCCCTGCCAGTTGCTCCCCAGACTAAGTCTTGGCCATCCGAATACTACTTTTTCCCAGGATAATCCATGTTCTTTTATTGAGCTACTCTGACCTGCCCCTGCTCCAATCTTCTGTACGCACTCTTTTAAAATCTAAAGTGGGGAAAAACAAAACTATGGTGGCTAGTGAGGTCCCTAACTGTCCATGTTGGCCTCTTTAGCCTCACTGGAATTCTTTCTATTATCTCTATTTTAGTCTTCTGAAAGACTCTGAATCAGATAGGGATTCCAAAGATAGGTTTGCAGGTTAAGGTTTATAAGTGGCCTCCTGTTCAATAGGACTACTCCAATATAACATATAAGTCTAAAATTCTTATTTATGACCTATGAGAAGGTGGCACTTAAAGCAGACATGTGATAATTATTAAGTGCTGTTATCTATCATCAATGAAAACAAAGTTGTTAAGAAAGTAAAACAAAGCAAGGAATGAAAGAATATAAACTTTGAAAGATGCAAATGAATAGACTGAACATAAAAACACAAAAATTGAGTAAGATAGACATATGAAAATCTAAATCACAAAAGGTAGAAGGAAAGTCTCTATTGTAATGGTAAAAATGTCTAATATTTAAAAAAAAAAGAAGGGTCAACAGAGGCATTGTTATAAGAGAATCATATAATAACATTTCTCAAAGGCTCTAGGGAGAAAATGCTTTGAATTTATCGATCTATTTTTTTTTTACATAGGACCTGTATTTAATTGGTATACGGAACTTCCTGTGAGGGAAACCCATCCACTAATGCTCATCTGGATATTCTCTGCAACTTCTAGAATATTTCCTGGGACAACTGAAAGGTTAAACAATTTGGCCCAGGTCACACATTCAGGATGTCTCATCCAGGACGGGGTAAACCAGAAGGTGCAGTGGATAGAGAGCTGGGCCTGAAGTCAGAAGACCTGAGTTCAAATCTGCCTCAGACACTCATTAGCTACATGACCCTGGGCAAGTTACTTAATCTGTTTCCTCAGTTTTCTCAATTATAATTATAAAATTTTACATAAAATTATAAAACAACAATAGTACTCCCTTCTCAAGGTCGTGGAATCAAATGAGATCTTTGTAATGCACTTAGCACAGTGTCTGGCACATTGTAGAAGCATAAAAATGCTAGCTATGATGATGACATCAAAGGCTGAATATGAACCCAGATATTTCTGACTCCAAGCCTGATTCTCTCACCAGTATACAATGCTACTTTTCATATTTTAATAGTGTTTAATAGTGTTGTTTCAGGGAAAAATTTTCCTTAAAAATAAGGAAAGTGACAAAAAATATAAATTGGCCCAGGATCAGATTTAAGCACTAGAAGGGACTTTAGATATAATCTACTCCAACACTGATTTTCTTAGAAGAAGAACAAAGGGCTAAGGGGGAAGAGGTCCAGTAACTTGTCCAAGATTACACAGCTAGTAAGTGGCAGAAGTGATATTTGAATCTGCATCCTGACTTTAAATGTACTGCTCTTTTCACCATTCAACATCATTTCTAAAGACAATGGGTCTTTACTTTGTAGTATAGTTCTTATTACCTTATTATTAATTTTCATAAGAATCTGAGCATACAAGGTATAGAGAAAGACAGGAACACATTTCCAAGCCTAAATCCTACGAGTCTATGAATAACAGAAGGAACAAGAGAATCAGGTGTGGTTGCTTAGGAGGATAAATACTGGTACTACCCAATAACTATTGGCTTGACTAAAGTACATTTTGCAGGCCAGATCTCATTTTAGGGTCAAAATGATGCACAAAAATTAGGCATAAGGTTTAAACACTGTAGAGATAAACCAGAGGAAGACCTGAAAAAAGTTAATAATCAAATAGCATGCTAGGATCTAAACAACCCACCACGTACCTAAACTTACCTGTCTGGTACAAGGCTTTTAAAGAAGCAATATCAGATAGATCCTCAGCTCTTGCTTGACATAGCCAGCGATTATAACTAGAGAAATAAAGGTTTTATTCTTGTTAGTTTCAATATACCCAATAATATATGCTAAATTTATAAATGTTTCCCTCAACTAAATGCTTCTCCCTGCCCCCGGTCAAATGAAAGGAGATGACATGGATGGTGGGCAACGAAATGAGCTGAAGGGAGTGCCCATAATGATGAGCTCAAAGTCACTAAAATATTAATTGCTAATAAAAAAATATTCCTTGCCGGGCAGCTAGGTGGCACAATGGATAGAGCACCGGCCCTGGAGTCAGGAGGACCTGAGTTCAAATCTGAGCTCAGACACATAACACTCACTAGCTGTGTGACTCTGGGCAAGTCACTTAACCCCAAATGCCTCACCAAGTAAAAAAAAAATATCCCTTGGGAAAAACCAAAACTCTGATGTTTTACTGAAGTGATTATGGGATCGGAGTATCAGAGTAGGAAGAGATCTGATATATTATCCATTCAACACTCTCATTGGTGACTTGTCTCAAGTCATAAAGGTTAAAATTCCAATCCAGGTCCTCTATTTTAAATACAACATTCCTCTCATTCTACCAAAAGTAAACATTCTACATAATGGAGAAAAGTTAGAGGCCTTTCCAATAAGATCAGGGAAACACAAGGAAACCCTAATTAGTACAAGTGCTATTTCACATAGAGCTAGAAATGCTGGCTATAGCAATAAGACAAGAAAAAGAAATTGAGGGGATAAGCAGAAGCAAAGAGAAAACAAAATTATCATTTTCTTCAGGTAATATGATAGTGTACTTAGCGGATCACTGAGAGTTAATGAAAACATCGACTAAAACATTAATTGAAGTAATAACCAGTAAAGTTATAGGATATAGGATAAATCCACACCAATTATTAGCATTCTTATATTATAATAAAGAAAAGCCAGCAAAAAGAACTAGAAAAAAAAATCCCATTCAAAATAAATGCAGAAGCTTTAAAATACTCAGGATTATATTTTCCCAGATTCAAACAGGAATTATAAGAATTTAACTATATGAAACACTATTTGCAGAAATAAAGACAGATTTAAATAACTGGAGAAACAGTAATTGTTCAAGGTTACATTGAGCCTCTATACATACATGAACGGGCATGCATGGATAGGCATGTGTGTGTATAACATATGTGTAACACATACATACATATGCATGTACACATACACGCATATATATGCATATATGCATGTATGTGTATTGAGAGATTTAATTTGAGGTTTTGAAAAAAATTGCTTAATGGAAAATAGAGGGAAGGTCAATTTTTTTTTAAGTTACTGAAAAAAAAGGGAGGGGAGGAGGGCAATGAAGAGAGATGTACTCTGATACAAGTTGGCTATAATAAAGTAAAAAATACAATAGGAAATGTCTGATTAGAAAATGACATAGACAAACCAAATGATAGACAATTCAAGTGCTACAGTGGTACCCATATAATGTCAAAAGATCTAGAAGATTGGTTAGGTAAATCCTCTTTGGAAGATTGATGGGAGGAAGTGGACAAAAGTCAAATGAGATGAGATGGCATGGCTGGAAGGCAATGAAATGAGCTGAAGGGAGTACCCACAATGATGAGCTCATAGTCACTAAAATATTGATCCACAAATACTGGTAACTTGGGGCAGCTAGGTGGTGCTGTGGATAGAGCACTGGCCCTGGAGTCAGGAGGACCTGAGTTCAAATCCGGCCTCAGACACATAACACTCACTAGCTGGGTGACCCTGGGCAAGCCACTTAACCCTACTGCCTAGCCTAAAATAAATAAAAACACAAAGACTGGCTTCTTTCACTTGGCTAGAAAAATTTATTGAATTTCAGCTAATATTTTCCTACGCACAATGTCAACCATACTACACTGAATACTATTCACATAGAGACAGTAATTAGTGAAGAACTTTAAAAGTAGATATTTAAATAAGCAGTTCTGAACAATATTTCTTAGTGTGGTAGAAGCGATGATATTATTAATACTAGTGCAATATAAGCCCATTTCTTCTAGCTGCTAGATCCAACTGCTATAAGGCCACTGACAGAAAGTGAGAAATTAAAAGGTAGAGCAACAAAACGATTTTAAAATAAATTGAGTGCTAGGCTAAATGTCCTAGGGACAAACTCTGGCTAAAGGATCATTTCTTTGGCATGTTTCTAGTCTCTAAAGTGATAAATGATGTAAACCAGAGCCATCAGGCTCTTGAAACTGCCAAGAAGTGTAAACGGAAGGGAAAAATGATGACATAGAATACATTTCAGCCGAGAGTCTAAAAATCCTATTATCAAGAAAAATGATTCCCACTTTGCTGATAGAGAAATTAAATGCTGGGAAGTAACTGCATTTTGCCCCAAATCATGCACTTAATCAGCAGTACAAATGGATAAAACCTCTATGAACTTAGATTTATTCACTGTGAATTTATAGATAACATGCCTAATTCCTTCAGCTGTTAAAAAGAAATGATGCTTAGTAAAGTCTTGTGGAGAAATACATACGATACATTATAATGTGTGATTTATGATGCTGTGAATTTAAATGTCATCAAGTTTAAAAAGAGTGAAACAAACCTACTACTACCAGTCTTTGACAAAAGGATCATTTGTTGTATGGCCCAATCAAGTCCTGTTAATGATAAAATACATTCATTTCTTCTAAGAATATTACTAATTGAAGATCCTTTTACTTTAGAGATGGGGAAAAAATTACATTTTAGGAAATTAAAAAATGTTTAGGATAATCTACTCAGATACGGTCAACATCAAATATCATTACTATTCAAACCAGACATTTATTAAACACCTATTACAGCTGTGTTTTGATTAGCATGAAGCACTATTTGAAGTTATAATTATGTAAAATATGTTTACTGGTTCCAGGCCAATGGTAACATAAAATGTGGATTCAAATACTTTAGAAGATTCCTTATTTGCACTAAATGGACCCAGCTGTAGATGCTAGGCAAGAGGTAGCTGGGCCTTAGTGGACAGAAAGGCAGGCTCAAAGCGAGGAGGACCTAGATTCAAGTGATATCTTTGACATATACTGGTTGTGTCATCCCGGGCAAGTCACTTAACTCCACCGGGCTCCAGGCAAAGCAGATACCAATTTATATTGATAAAAAGGAGTGTCCTCACTGGGAATTCTTAACATCAATGACATTTTTAAGTCAGTTTTCTTTAAAAAGGCACAGTACAATGCTCATTAAGAGAAATTATGGTCTCTCTTTAGTGACTGTGTGATATGGCACAAAGTAGGTACTTCAATGCTTGCCTGACTGTAGGATTTAGAACTAGCAGGGACATAAAAGGTCATCTGGTTCAGTCTTTTCATTTTACAGATGATCAAGCTGAAACTCAGAGAAGCTGTCAGTCACCAAGTCCAGAAGCATTTATTAAACATCTCTTACTTTGATGCCAGGCACTGTGCTAAGCAGTGTAGCTAGAAAGGCAAAAAATAGTCTCTGCTCTCAAGGAGCTCCCAGTGTAATGGAGGAGATAAATGCAAACAACTATGTACAAAAATAACATGCAGAATAAACTGGAGACAATCTTGGAAAGAAGGCACTAAGATTAAGGAGGGCTGGAAAAAGATACTTGTATAAGGTGAGATTTGAGCTGGGAACCCAGGAGACAGAGATGAGGAGGGACAGAATTCAAGGAAGAGTAGACAGTCAGTTATGCACTCAAATTAGCACATAAAAATACTAAATATGAAGAGATTTATAATATAGACATCCTGTAATCTCAAAACTTGGAAATAAGAAAAACACACAAGCAGAAGACCAGAAATTCACCTTAACTATCAACTTTTAGGTTGAAGATGGGGGGAGGGAGATAGTCAGCTATTCACTCAAATTACTACATAAAAATAATAAACATGAAGAGATTTATAATATAGGCATTCTGTAGTCCCAAAACTTTGAAACAGAAAAAACCAATAAACAGAAGGCCAGAAATTCACTTTAACTATTAACTTTTAAGTGGAAGATGGCAACAAGTTCTCCTATTTTTGAGGCCTTCAAAGAACCCAAGAATATGGTGGCAGCATCACATGAAGCTATTTACTAGTGCCATCTAGAGGCTTTTAATGTTTCTGTATGATTAAAGCATACTGAAAAAACAAACACCAAAGAAAGATGGAATTAAGTATTTTTATATGAACAGATGCATTTGGTAACATGAATGTGCTGCTGACTAGAAAGTCTATTGAACCTAATAGAAGGTGGACAAATGGCCAGTGATGTACAAATTTATGTCAATAAAAGCTCCATGTAATAGTGAAACATAAATTAGTAAAGAAACAGCATTCGTATTTTTAAAGCAAGTACTTTGTTGGGTGCACAAAAACTGAACTATATCATAGGGTATTTTTCCATTTGCATCATGATGTTATGAAAGTTGGAAAACTGGGAGGGCTCAGAAATATAAAAAATGGCTAGAGTCAAAAAGTAGCATCTATAATGATCATGTCATACAGAGAAGAGAAAGTTGAGAGTTCATTCAACTGTTTTTAAAAGTATATGAAATTTGTGACATGGTAAAAGGCAGTAACATTTACTTAAGGCAATAATTTTAAACTATTATACAACCAATGATCCCTGTGACGGGAAGAGGGGAAGGCCTACATAGTTTTTCTATTCTAAGTTTATCTCAGAAAATTTATATAAATAACCTGCTAATAATAGTACTTTCTGTTGAGTAACACAGTAACTCAGACACATATGTAGGGTAAGATATTTATATGAAATATGTTGAGTATAATCCTACTCTGATATTGTTTAATGACTATAAAAAAGAAATCTGATTTGATAGAGCCACACACCATCTTAAAGGTTTTCCTTTCCAACCAGTTTACTCCCATATATAACAGATAACCTTGTTCAACAATCCGTCTAATTGTCAATATTGGGTGAACATTAAAACAGGGATATATATTTTCACCAATTGTATGTCAAGGTTACATGGAAGAGGGATTCCTTGCAGATGGTGATTCTATGATTC